TCCTCTAGAATTTGTTTCTTCCTGACTTCCAGGATACCACTTCAGAATACTACAAGAAATTCTCCTTGCCTCAGGAGAGAGGGAGTTCTCCAGCCTTTTAGCTCAGAAAACATCCCCCAGTCAGAACATCAACCTTCTCACAATTTATTTTTCTCAAGTTTTCTAAATTTATTTTCATTTCACGGCTGCTTCAGCTTCTGCTCTAGAGACAGAATACATAGAGCTTCCCCTTTATGTGAATCCTGCATTACCACCCACCTTTGATCCCCTTCCTCTCTCTACTTCTGCTATTATAATTTCACAGATTTTGCCAGGAGGAACCATTAGATCACTTAAGCAGATCTCCAGTATAATGCAGGCACTAACTTTCACCCAGCTACCCCTGCTGAAACCCAAACTCTTCAGTGAAATGAAAGCAAGAGATTAAATTGTACACTGAAGGAGACCCTGCAGCGTGAGCTGCACTGGCAGAAAACTGGGCAAAAACACATGCAAATGATTCCATCAGGAAACAACAGCCTCCACTGCAGAAAAAGCCAGTGAATGTTACCAACTTGGCATTAAAACCCCAGTTCTTTCCAACACCGAATCTAAAAGTAGAACATGAAATATGTTCTACTTAAACATACAAATGAATGATAATCTAATTTTCCCTTAGATGTCTATGCTATGTCTTATGCAATGAACACTTTCCCTAGTCTTGACTAACTGCTGGTGTTTAGGACAGAATAAAAAACAAAACACAAACAAAAACTACCACAGAACAATGTGAAAAAAGGAAAAAGCCCTCCCTTACTCACAGCAGAAATTATGCTAAGATTTTATTGTAGTTACTGTCTTCATGCAGCTGATACAAATTCAGACTTAACATCTGATCCATGTATTTGCTTCTGAAACTTAAGTTATACACAGTAAGTTTACAATTCAAGCCACAGTGGTCCTACCATCTTTACAAGTACTGGTACAAACCCTTGACTGCCTTCTCAAATGGAGGGCTGGGATCTCATGGCAGATGGAAATCACACAGTTTAATTCCCACACCACTGGGTTTGCACAGTGCTTTCACAGGCAGAGACTGCTTCACAACAGCAGGAATGATGCCTTCCAAGAGCACATCCCAGCAGAAGTCCAAGCAGGATTCCTACACCAACAAGCAAGGCACACTGCACCCAGAGGATTAGCAATCTCTCTATTGTTCTACCTTATGAAAAATATCTAAGAAAAAAAAAAAAAAGTGACTTAATGACACTAATGACAAAAATAAGGAAACAGGCTAACAGCTCAGAAGGTTCTGCTATAGGGAGCTGAACCTGAGGTAGGCCTAAGGGACAGTGACCCACTGATAATTAAAAAGGACAAAGTACTTGACTAAGCTGATTACAGACTTTAATAAAGTATGCACTTTGAAAATACAGAGTAAGAGATTTCAGGCAGCTTCCAATGACCTTTTCATGACAATTTTTATCCCAATCATAACAATAGTGATTAGACGTTCACCTAGTTAATGGTCAATGCCTTGCATGACATGAGTTCTGGACTACAAAAATTCATTTTCACTAGCTTGTTTGTCACTTTATATTGCAATCTCTCAATCCTGTTCCATTTGAAAGTATCTTTAAAAATATCCCTCAAAGAATTATTTATATTCATCTGTTCTCAGTTTATGAAATGAAATACACATTACAAAAAAATAACATTACAAGTAATGACCCTGTCTAGCTGTAGTGCAGATGAGCAATGTGAAGCTCCTTGAACAGCATTAACACCTTAAGTGAGCACAGAACCCAACACTGTGTTCCAGCCCCACAGGCTGGAACAAGCTACCCACTTAATCCCAACTGCACCACTGAAACTTCCACTTCCAGACTTGGCAAATGGCACTGAACTTAATGGCACCTGCCAGCTGGTTCCAGAGATTTCAGAAGAGAGGAATTTACCAAGGCATTTTCCCTGTGCCTCTCCTTTTTCACTCTAGAAAAACTTTTTTTTTAATTTCTAGGGATGTGCCAGCTGCTAATTAGCATAAGGCAGAAATAGCCTTTAGTTGCTCTGATGTACCCCACCTTTACCTGGTAGCTTCACTCACAGCTCCCCAGTCAGACTAGGAAATCTCTGCAGACTTCAGGCAGGAGCTTAGCTCTAACCTTGAAAAGTCAGACTCCTTCCCCATACACAAGCAGAGCTTTTTATACAAAAGGTTAGTGTCAACTGCAAAATATAATTTAGAGGAATATTCAAGCCACCACTTTTTTCCAAACACCCCATGTCCTTAAGGCAAAGGCCTGCATCCTTGGTGAAATGCTACTTCCTCTGCACTTCTCTTTGCTGTCTTGCTTCTTTGCCTCATAGTGCCTCTTGGCACTACAGTACCAAGCTCACTATGAAAAGCCTTGTTCTGTGACAGCAGAGGAGGGATGAAATGGCACACAAGAAAATACAGCATGTCTAACTTTAGCTTCCCTCTACTTCTGATGAAGTAACTTCAAAGGCAGCAAAGAAGTTGCAGTCTGCTCCCATTAAAATGCAGAACAGATTCCCCTGAACAGCTTCAATAGGAGAACTTTAGATTAGGAAAAGCACATATCACAGAAATCAGACAAAATACACGTAAGAGAAGCATTGTGATGGAGTGTTTCCAACAGTGCTGCACAAGTTCACAGTGACTTACCCAACCTCTATACTATGATAATACTATAAAAATCCACTGCTGGCACACCAGCAATGGAAAAGGAAGGTAAAATACAAGGAGGGGAATTCCTGAATTCCTATGACTTAGGGTGGTCAGTACTCACTGTGCAACAGTTTTTCCCTTAGAAGAACAAAAGCACAGCTGTATAGGCAATGCTGGCTTTTTTAACAGCTAAATACTTCTTCCTGTGTCTTCATGTGATCCAGTGCCTAGAGATCAGCTATGACACATAAGAGGGAGAAACGAAACTGAAAGCACTACACACTCTTGTATCCCATCTCTTAGAAGTTGTGAGCCATCATGTGACTACAGCCTGTGAGGAATCTCAAAGCCCCCACCTGCACCCAGTAGGGCACATGGGGCAGAAATCAAGTTTAACCACCCAACAAACAAAAAAAGCAGGGGAGTTGTGAAGTTTTGAAGGAGTATGATCACAACTGTGATAAACAGTATGACTTTTACTACTAAACAGATTTCCAGCCGTAGGACCTCAAAATAATTAACTAAATATAACCTGAAGTGATGATAAGGTCAACTTTGAACACGCCTTAAAAACTAGAGAAAGTTGAATGTGTCCCTTGAAGTAATCAGACAATGCTGAGACAGGAGTGAAAGGAACCACAGTCAACATGATAAACGTATTTTAAAAAGTGAATATTAAAAATTAGCTTTGCTACTGTCAGACACAGAGGTGCCTGTGTGAATTCACACGTACAGCACATCTTTCCCACATTAAGAATGCAGATAAATTGCAACTTCAAAATGGGCAGGCACTGCAGAGAGAACACAAGACGCTATTGTTGACTCACAATGAAAGCCAGGAAAAATACAGACTTTTTAATAAGACAAATCTAAATTATTTAAATAGCACTTAATGCTTCTACCATTTTATCCTTTACCCCACTTACATTCTTATTAATATCAGTTACTTCCCAGACACAATAGCTTTGTGGCCAAGGCCATCTACTGGTGAGTGGGGTGTGTGAATTAATGGGAGGTTTGTTGACCAGATTTAATTAGAGCTTGCAGAGATTCAGGCACATGTATTGAAATCCTGCCAGGCAGCTGTCAGGAATTACTGAATATGATCACAGTTTTGGATGAACAAATAAAAAATTAAGGCTTCCCAACTCCACATGGACCTAAAGAGCCTTGATGTTGCCAAGAGGAGAAGAGTGTGGTACTTGGAATCTGCATCTTGTTGTAGACCAGACACCACGTCACCTTACTGCTCTGTGTAAAATGAATCAAACATGTCAGTGTCACTAATAGAGATATGAATTTTACCCCCAAAACCACTACAAACCTGATAACATCGTTTTCAAGAATTAATGGGGTATGAATGGAAACATTTGCAGGCTAAAACTGCAAACATTTTAAATGGAGATTTTAGATGGGGATTTATTGGCTGCACACCATAGTTACAATTGTACTTGTCCCTAATGGCAACAGAAATGGACACCAGGCAAGGAAATGGAAGGGAAATTAAGCACACCCACATCCTTACACACTGCCATTTCCAACGTGATGTCTGAGACTAATCAGCAAGGGAAACTGGGAGCAATAGCATGCTAGGACACAGAGATTCCCCACACTGTTCTACTGTTACATGCTGAGCATCATTATTCCCAAATCACGAAGATGTTTTTAACAAGACACTTCCTTTAGCTCTTTTTTCAAATTCTGTAACACTTAAGTTAGCATTATGATTTTTAGAGCAAGGTATTTGAAAATCCCCAAATTACATGACAGTATTTTCTCCATCTTTGAGATGAAGTAAAGTTAACCCTTACTCATCCTTTTTGCCATAAGAATTTCAGGCAATCTTGACAGCATAGAGAAATATATTCTCTAGAAACAAGCTTGAAGGAAGTAAAATAATTTCTTCTTGCTACTTGTGGATGGCAACACAGAAACCAGAACTTCTTGTTTTGCTTAAACAAATGACACAGAAGAAAAGTATTTCCACAAGAGAAAATGTGGATGCCATAGAATGACAAATGCCCTTCAGTGGCTATCACTTCAGTCTGATTAATTGCTATGATGATCAGATTCTTGACAGGGAATTTATGGATGGCAGGTAAAAGGAGTCAAACCTTCCACATTTTTCCATTACAAGTTGGGTTTGGGGCTGGTTTGCGAGGGTTTTTCTGGGGTGGGGTAGTGTTTTTTCTTCTGAACTATAAATCCAGTTCAATTACACTGGTTTTATTCAGTGCAGGAGATTGCCATCTTCCAGTACAGCAAGCTTAGTAATTTATATGCCTTTCTATTCATTTATGGTGCAATAAATCCATAGGCAGTTCTGTGTCTGTTGGAGATCTGCAGTCTCCAGTATAATTTTTTAATTGAAGATCAGAAGCGGGGAAAACACCCCAAACATCAAATTGCTGCCCCTTTTGGCTCCAACTCACAAGACATAAACAACTTCAAAAGAATAAAACAGTGTTTTGCAGCAAAAGTGTTATCAACTAGTTGATAAGCTTTAGATGTTCCTCTCATTTAGTCACTGGATCAAAAGAGCTGAACTATGGAAATTTAATTTATACCTTCAATTACAATTACTGTGAATCACAGTAATTACACTTTACACTTTCAAAACACTGCACTAATGTTTACAACATGCCTTGGTAGAAAGTTAGCTTTATATTTGAAGCTAATATAGAGGATGAAGAAACTTGTTATGATCTCCTGTTGATTTGCATAGAAAAGCCTCCAGCTACTTACACCAGGATTCTCATGTTCCAGAAACCAGAGATAAAATGACAACTAGGAAATTGTCCAGTTGCAACATCTAATTGTAAGGATTTGGTCATTTCGTTAACACACATTTCAAACAGAGGACTTCCTTTAACTTCACTGTCAGATCCTCTTTTAAATTCATGTTTTCAACTGATTTTTCTTCCATAATTCTTTAAACTTGGAATTGACTATATATTACTGAATTGAAAGGAATGGCTTGTTGTCTTTTTTTTAAAATTTTCCAGAACATATATATCTGTTTGATCCATTTTCCCAGTGCAATGCTAAAAGCCTTTTTTTTCTCCAATCCTGTAGCAAATACTAATAGCAGCTCCAACTTTCTTAACCTCAATATATCCAAAAAGCAATATTACCTCAAAATGAACTGCTGAGGCTAGACAAGCTAAGAAGTCCATCTACCTCTATTTCATCTTGCATATTATTCAGTTATATATTGTACAGTCTCTAGGGAAAAAAAGAAAAACAGTAAAGTAACTCAGAAGGGCCAACAGTCATTTAAGTGTTGTTTATTTTCAAACAGTATCATTTCTCCTCAGAATATAAGAAAATTACATATCCATTACACCTGCCTGAATGAAACTGTGCTGTCTAAATGCCTTGGATGAGCACTGGAACCAATTCAATTTCTACCAGTCTGTTCCAGGGCAAAGGCTTTGCTTTAACACTGCAAACACAGTGCAAGCTTCAGAAAGAATTTTTGGAAATCATATGTAGAAAATTCATTTTCAAATTTCCTCTTTTGGATGAAAGGGCAGGAAGAGAAAAAAAGACCCAATAAAGTCTAGTATTTGTTACATCAAAACAATTACAGTGGTACATAAAAGGCTGTAGAAGGCATTTATTCTAAGAGCCTTGGATGTTCAATCCGTGTAATAGTCCAGTCTGGTTTTGCTCCTTCTGTAAACTCCCTTTGGAACCTGAAAAAGGAAAGATAATACGTGAAGAACTGTTAAAATTGACTTGACCTTAAGGAGCCTTAATACAACAAGAAATCATGAAGAAATATTTTACTTCAAACTTATTGATGTAAAAGCTACTTAAAATTTAATGCTTATACCCCAAATTGAAGATAAATAACATTTCTACAGTAAGAAACAAAATGCACTGACTTCAGTGCTTTGGTTCAGATCCCACAGACAGGACCAAGCAGCAACAGTAAAGACCCTGATATCAAAAGAACTTTTCACAGCAAGAATATGAATAAAGCTTTATGGAAGATCTTGATCTGTAAATAAAGGGTTGCATTTAATGGGATGGTAAGTGAAGGGAAATCACGTGCTCCATATTTTACTTGAAAATTTTCATTTTTCCTGAAGTGTACTTTAAAAAGTAATATATTTTCAGAACTATATCAAAGATTAAGTTAACAGCAGTACTGAGTCTCCCTTTATCTAAAGATAAGTCTGAGCTTCAAGCTAAATTCTCATGTTATCAAATAACCTGCATGTCATGGACAAGAGCAATATATCATTGCTTTGCAATCATGTGCAAATCCACTCCTGCAAAGTGGGACTGGGAAGATATTTAAGCTTTAAGGGAAGGCTCTCAAGGTTAATGGAACCTCAGAAGCCTCTAAGTCTAAGGAAGATGCTGAATTCAGCTAAGGGATGGATACACAACAATCTATCCAGGGAAAAAAGTACCGGTCTCCTCATGAGTGTTACCTTTGTTTCAGAGCTCCTCATCACCTAGACTCCATATTTTCAATTTCAAATGTGGGTGCAGAAATCCTTGATCACATTGCATTTATCACACAAAAATCCTCACCTCTCCCAGCTTCTGAGAATCTTATTCTCAATATATTTTGCCAACTGTGTAGATATTTTCTGCACTGCTCTGACATCAATACACCAACACAGACATTATTTATAAGCATTCCTATGAAAATCCATCTTCCTAACGTGTGCTTTGAGGATCAGGAACCTCATTCAGTGCTCCAAATACTGCTCTTCCTTATAGAAAAAGAGTTTCCATTAACGTCAACTCAGAACCAAGGAAACAACATAATGATCTTAGGGGTATTTAAAAAATTTGGTCCTAAAATCAAAACTGGAAAGCTGAATGAGAATTAACTTAGATTAGAATCAAGGTAAATTAAAATCACTGGGTTCTGCAGTGGCACTTTGGGGGAGTGCTTGCAGAACTGCCTACCCCACAGGAACCTCATGAGCATGGGAAAATAAAAGGGACAAGCAAGCTTACTCATAGTTTGCTGTCAAAAGATGTTTCTTTTCTTTTGTGTTTTCATCTCCAAACACAATCTGGAAGACTTTGGCTTCACCTGGTACTTCGTCAGGTAGATTAGCACCATTCAGATACCAGAAGCACATCAGGATGCTAACAAACTTTCTTCCTGTTGGAAATAAATCAAAACTTAAATTAGATCTCATGTTTCTCATTGGTCAAATAATCCTATTTGCTACCTAGCATTCTAGTGAGAGCATGGAAGGTAAGATGACTTTGGCCATAAAGAATACAGTATAGAATAATGAGTGATAAAGATATTTTATGCCATACTCATGCTGTTCAGCAATAAAAATGCACTCTGTAAAAAAATATGTATTTTATTGTGAGTGTGGTGTGACAGTGTATATAATGAAATTGTATAACAGGTTGGTTCCCACAAATTCCAAAGCTAACTACTCATACAACAAATACACGTAGAGTAGTACAAACATGGGAGCAATCTAAGAGGGGAAAAAGAAATTCCTATTTCCCAAACCAGGAAAAATGCTTACTGGGTCTGACAACTTGAAATGAAGACCCAGGGTTGGGCCCACATATCATCTCCACTGTGTCTGGCAGTGAACAGAGCACACAACACTGGAATCCCATCAAAAGAAAAACTTGCTTGAGCTCATCACTAGCTTTAAAAAAACCAAAATCAATCAAGGAGTCCTATAACAAAGTGTATTTCATGACAGAAAGACTAAACCAGCAATGTTTATTTCATTATCCAGCCTTCACTATTCTTCTTGCAGGTTGCATTTTCATTGTTGAAGCAAACAGCTTTCAGCATATATTAGAATAATTGTTTTTGAGTGGTTTCACATTGCTGAGGACTAATACAAAAGTCTGTAAAAAAGAAGAGGAGTAAGCAAAACCCAAACAGAAGTCAAAACAGCACCATGATGTATAAACAATAATCTCTGTCTCTGGTTTAAAAGGAAATCAAGAAATTTTATATGGGTGAATGACAAACAGAGAAACAAGGAATGAGAAACAGGACCCAAAAACACATCTGCATGGAAAATGTCTGTTTAGTACAAAACCAGGAAATAAGACTGCTCATTGCTGAAATGTTTTAGGATTCTAAACATACCATCATCATCATAGTAAATGCGAACATCTCCTTCTGTTGTGTACATGATTGCATCAATGTCAGCTGCTAAAGCATCCCTGTGGCTGTCAGGGAGCAAAGAAATCTTTTCCTTCAGCACCTGAAGTACCTAAATTCAGAAAAACTGTCACTTAGTTTTTTATTAAGAAATTTAAGTAACAATCTATTTCTCCTGCGGTTAATAAAATGAGCAGTATTGCTAAAACATTCATCTAAGACATGTAACAGCTGAAGTGAACAAGCACTGGGAAGCTTGGGCATTCCTAAACCCTAATTCAGCAGCATTGAAGAAGGTCCATTTACTGCTCAAAACAAATAAAAACCAAGCATCTTAAAAAATGTTTAGAAAAGGTACTGTGAGCAGCAGCAACACAAGCCATGTCAGCCCAGAACAGCCCAGAGAAGCTCGCTCCCACAATCACTCCCTGCCTCCTCACCACTGAATTCTCACTATGTACAGGTTCCTAAGCTGTTGATTCAGCATCTTTTAGCTATCTTTCGCAAATTTCTTTGAAAAATTTGTGAAAATTTTCATTACCAATGAGTTTCTTTGCCATTTTGTGATCCACGCTCTATCTAGAAAAAGTTTAAACACTTGCGAATCAGAACAGACTAAAAAATTGTTCCCCTGGTACTTAATGTCCTTATGACACTCACGTAATACTCACATTATCTATAATCCACACAGCTGTGTTAAATAGAAAATGGTGGGGTGCAAAAACTGCACAGAGGTAGCACCTCAAACACCACATGAGAAAGTCAAGTCACGAGGAAGGATGACACTGCAGAACTTGTTTTTAACTAATACTCTTTTTACCCTAACTTGATCTATCATTTTTGAATAATGAACAAATGCAGAGGTTGCATGGAAGCAAGAGCCAATCTTCACAAGGAGACACTGGTTTCTAATACATTTTGCAGGTACAAAATTCACTGACCAAAGAAATGACAAAGTAGTGTGGGATCATAGACTCATCTACTACATCCTTGACTTACATGAAGTCTCTGAATCAATGTAAACCTGAAAGATTTACAGCAAGTTCTTTCAAGAGGAAGCAGAGGAGATTCCCTTTCAAAACAACTGCAAGAAACAAACTCACGTTTTATTGCTATCTCTGTTCAGAGAGAGGAGGCAAGACTGTTCAGAGGGGATGCACTAGAACAGCACCAGAGTTTTTGCTGCAAAGGCATGGGTGGCAATAGGACAGGCCACGCTGACATCCTGTAACAAGGCAGACATAGACCTGGAGTGTCTCCTCCACTTGACTCTGATGCATCTGCTACCTCCATTCCCTGGGAAGGCCAAGACAACTTCAGCAATTAAAAATTCATAAAAACACAGAAAACACAGCACTGATGTTTAACCAGGTCATGATGTTTAACCTGAGACCATGACAAAGACTGAGGCCTTCCAGCCAAAATCAGTAATCAGCTGTATGATCTGATGGGGGTGGGAATGTATTAGTGCAGCAGGGACAAGGACAAACCTTTATTTCTTCAAAGGAATTCTGGTGCACAGAGTCAGCCTAACTCAACTTCAGCCACCTGCCTACAGCTAAAGACACACAATTCCACCTGCCCTCTGCCTTTACATCCTTCCTGGTACACCAGCAATCTTTCTGGCATTTGGTCCTTATGCTCAACAGCTAGAATATATTTTATTTTGCTTTAAATACGATACAATAACTTTGAATTAAGTTTTGTGCTTTGAAAATAAACAGAAATAAAAGCTGCAGGACAAAAAATTGCCCACCCTATGTTGCATTACGCTGTTTTTCCCAAATTAAACCGAACTGGCAACTTGCAGATAATGACAGGCTGAATGCATCCACGTTACTTTATGACAGACAATCAATTGTTAGAGTAGGAGATGGAAAGCATTTACCTCTGCTGATACAAGTTCTTCCAGCAGGTCAAGTTTACGCTGAGACAGCAGCTTTGAAACAACAGAAAAGGCCTACCAAATTAAAACAGAAACAAAACCCAAACATGAACAAGTAACTCAAGTAACAAGTAACAAGGTTGGCTTGTTTTACAGACAAATCCATAAGTATATGACAAGCTACCCAAATATTCCATGATTTAAGATTTCAATACTTGCAGAGGGTTTCACCATTGAAATGTAATCCCTCCAGCATTACAAGAGTGATTTCATAAACTGATAAAAACATATGATTTCTTTTCAATCTCCTGTTTAAAACATCAAAGCTTCCAAGAGGTAAATTAATTCATAGTTTACAAAAGAAAAAAAAAAAGCTTTGCAGTATTTTGTATGTTGCTTTTACTCTTTTTGATAATTCCAACAGTCTGTGTCTTTCCCTGTAAGTATTTTGTTCCCCTGCTCTCTTTTGCAACTTATCTTCTGGTTTTAGTCAAAATTGATGCTGCAATTTACAATTTTTTTTAGAAATCTGGTTTAGTCTCTAGACTTCAGGAAGCTCAAGCTTTCTCCCCTTATGTAAACATACATAATTGTATGTATATTTACATCCAACTATGCCTCTACATATTCAAGTCGTGCACTTGTGAAGGGCAGTGTATTTAAGATTCTTCACCAAGTCAAAACAAACAAACACCAAAACAAAACCAAAAAAAACAGGACAAGGTAAAACAGGTGGTTCTGCACATGCATCAAATTATTTGTTGTAGGTTGTGGGTTTTTTCCTCTCTTGAATTGATCATTTTAACATTCTGTCCTCTGATGTGTTGTTTTGAGCTGGTTTGTTTTTTTTTTTGTTAAAAGTAACCATAATAATAAAAAGTTATAAGATAGATAACAGAGATAACAGACTGTAGTTTTCATATGACTAACTTTGAGATACTTATCTCTTTGATGCATTCTGTTGACAAAGCTTCTTGGCCTCATAAATTTGGAGAAATAAATATATACACCAGCTCTATGCCTGACAAAACTTTATCATTCCAGGAAAACCTGCTAAGAGGAGACACACTTCTCCTTAAAGTCTCTATAACATTTGGAAGCACCTTCCTACATGCTACTATGGGGAATGGCTTAACCAGTTCATTTTAATTGTGGAATTCGGGAAAACAAGAATTTCCTGAAAAAAAGTACAGCTCTGCTTACATAATTTGCCTCAAAGTGTGGTGCTTGGAGCCAGCAGTGGGGAACTCCTTGTGTTTTACACAGAGGAGTGCATTAGTGCTACGATGCCCACATGCAATAACATCAGGCTGGACATCAGGAGGAATTCCTTCATGGAGAGGGTTATCAAACATTGAAATGAGCTGCCCAGGGAGGTGGTGGAGTCATCATCCCTGGAGGTGTTTAAGGAATGACTGGACATGGCATTGATGCCAGAAATTGGTCGACAAAGTGGTGTTTGGTTATAGGTTGGACTGAACATACAACACAGACAAGGAGCTCCTGGAGTGAGTCCAGCAGAAAGGATTGGGGGACTGGAGCATCTCTCCTACAGGAAAAGCTTATGGGACTAGAATTGTTCAGCCTCAAAAAGAGATGGCTGAGAGGGGTTTCACCAATGTGTATAAATATTTAAAGTTGGGGGAGTGCCAAGAGTATGGACCAGGTTCTGCTCGGTGCAACGGGACAAGAGGCAACAGTCAGAAACTGATGTACAGGAAGTTCCACATGAACGCAGAGAAGGATTTCTTTACTGTGAAAATGATCAAGCAGTGGAACAGAATGCCAGACGTTGTGGAGTCTCCCTCACTGGGAGTATTCCAGACCCGTCTGGACACAATCCAGTGCCATGTGCTCTAGGACGGCCCTGCTGGAGCA